ATATATATATATATATAGGAGGAAGAAGTAGGTCGGTGGAGCTACGAGGGGCCCACGAGGGTGGGGGCCGTGCCCGGGGGGCAGGCGCGACTCCCTGCCTCGTGGCTCCCTCGTTTCTTTCTTGACATCCACTCGAAGTCCTCTGGATCACGTTTTTTCGAAAAATAACTCTCCCAAAGGTTTCATTCCGTTTGGATTCCATTTGATATTCCTTTTCTGCGAAACACTGAAATAGGCAAAAAAACAGCAATTTGCACTGGGCCTTGGGTTAGTAGGTTAGTCCCAAAAATAATATAAAAGTGTATAAATAAGCCCATTAACATCCAATATAGATAATATAATAGCATGAAACAATCAAAAATTATAGATACGTTGGAGACGTATCAACTTGCAGCAGCAGGTCGTCCGGTGACAGATGGAGAGATGGTGGACTACATCCTCGCCGGACTCGATCGGGATTATGATCCCATCATTGTAGCAGTTGGTGCCATCAAGAACTCCATTACTGTTGATGATATTTTCTCGCAGATTTCTGCCTTTGATCAGAGGATGGAGATGCTAGGCGACGGATTGGCAGGCTTTCATTCGTCCGCCAACGCCATGTACAGGGGACGCGGCCAGCCTCGGGGCAGAGGAGGCCACGGGCGAAGAGGGCGTGGTCGCTCTGACCGTGCCCCCCCATCTCATGTTCGCGCCGGTGGGAATGGCGGCTATCAGCAGCGCCAACGCCAGCCACCACCACAGCAGCACCAGCAACAACATGAGGGAGACTACCCCGAGTGCCAGATATGTTACAAGTACCATGCCGGCGGCGCCAAGGACTGCTAGCATCGGTACGAGGAGGATAATGAAGAGAAGAAAAAGGCCAACCTCATCACCAACTCGTATGGCATCGACACAAATTGGTATGTAGATTCGGGCGCTACCGAGCATATCACAGGGGAGCTTGACAAGTTGACGATGCGGGAAAGATATCATGGAGGTGACCAAGTGCACATAGCAAGTGGAGCTGGTGTCGATATTACTCACATCGGTAACTCAATTGTTAATACCCCTAAGAAAAAATTTCATCTAAAGAATGTCTTACATATCCCTCATGCATAAAAAAATCTTGTCTCCGTTCATCGCTTTACACTTGACAAAAATGTTCTCATCGTATTCTATCCTTATTCTTTTATGATTAAGGACTTGGCAACGAGGAGAGTCATCTTTAGAGGGAGATGTGAGGGAGGTCTCTATCCAATCACATCATCATCTTCTTTGTCGTGGTCAAATAAGCAAGCTTGGAGTGTCACCAAACCATCTTTAGAAAAGTGGCACCGACGCTTGGGTCATCCATCTTCAGTCATCGTTCAGCATGTCCTTAGAAAAAATAAACTTCCTTTCGTGTCTAGTATTGAGTCAGTTTGTGATGCGTGTCAACAAGCCAAAAGTCATCAATTACCATATCCCATCTCTATTAGTGTATCTACTGCTCCATTGCAACTTACTTTTTCAGATGTTTGGGGGCCATCTCCCACCTCTGTTGGTAGATTTTCTTATTATGTAAGCTTTATTGACGACTATAGCAAGTTTACTTGGATCTATTTGTTAAAGAAATGATCCGATGTCTTTCAATTTTTTAGTAATTTCCAAAGTCTTGTTGGACGCCAACTGAACTCCAAAATTCTTGCCATGCAAAAAGATTGGGGTGGTGAGTATGAGAAACTCAATTCCTTCTTTCAAAAGATTGGAATTTCACATCATGTGTCCTATCCACACGCTCATCAATAGAATGGCTCCGCTGAACGAAAGCATCGCCATGTTGTTGAAGTAGGATTAGCACTACTAGCCCATGCGTCCATGCCTCTAAAATTCTGGGATGAAGCCTTTCTTATCGCCACATATTTAATCAATATTCATCCAAGTAAAGTAATAAAATTTGAAAATCACATAACTCGTATCTTTGATGTCAAACCAGATTACACATCTCTCCGCATATTTGGATGTGCATGTTGGCCTAATCTTAGACCATACAACACATGCAAACTTGTGTTTCGTTCCAAACAATGTGTCTTTTTAGGTTATAGCCCTATGCACAAAGGGGTTAAGTGCCTATATGTTTCCACTCGAAGGGTTTACATATCCAGAGACGTTGCGTTTGATGAATCCGTCTTCCCTTTTGAGTCACTTCATCCAAATGCCGGAGCCCTTCTTCGTAAAGAAATACTTCTTCTTCCGGAATTTGATCAAGGGGGGAATAACAGTTCTGCTGACCCATGTGCTAATAATCCTTCTAGTTCTACTCTTGCTATGCATGTACAGGTGGCTGAAGAAAACAGAGTTGAAAATGATCAAAATGACCAAAATCCGGTGCAAAACGGTGCCATATTTGATGTGTATGGTGAAGAAGCAGCAGACGCAGAACCCGAGGAGGATTCGGTGACGCCTGCCACGCCTGTGTGATGATCGGCCTCGAATCGTGGGCGCAGATCCGCGTGGGATCGTGCGCCCACCCGATAGGAGGACTAGGCGGGTCCGGCCCAGTCGTCCACCGCCACGTCACCCCGCATGCAGGGGACAGAACCAGACGCGGGATCTCCCTCGTCACGCGCGTGCATGCCGACAGTGACAGGCTCGGGATTTTCTGCGCCAGGGAATTCTGTCTCCCAGGACATGTCCAGTCCATCATCTGCCACACCAGGGACCACAGGATCCAGTGTGTCTCTTCAGTCTGCACATGCTGATGGATCTGCGAGATCTCCTGCAACCAGCCAACTTGTGCAATATCTTGTGCAATCACGACAACCTCCTGCCACTACTTCAAGAGTCATGACTCGGCTACAAAAAGGTATTAAAAATCCCAAAGTAAGGACAGATGGAACTATACCATATGGCATGTTATGCATTTCAGGAGAGCCCACAAAATCGAATGATGCACTTGGAGATCCTAAGTGGAAAAGGGCTATGGATGAGGAATATGGTGCTCTCATGAAGAACAAAACATGGCACCTTGGTACCAAGTCAAACAGGTAAAAATATTATTGACTGTAAGTGGGTTTATAGAACCAAAAGGAAAGCAGATGGCTCCATTGATAGGTACAAGGCACGTCTAGTTGCAAAAAGGATTTAAGCAACGATATGATATTGATTATGAGGACACTTTGTCCTGTTGTCAAAGCTTCTACTATAATACTTGTGCTAGCCATTGTTGTTTTCAGAGGATGGAGCCTTAGACAGCTAGATGTTCAGAACACGTTTCTGCATGGTGTTATGGAAGAGGATGTCTATATGAGGCAACCACCAGGGTATGAAAACAAACAAACACCTAATCATGTCTGTAAGCTTGATAAATCTCTTTATGGTTTGAAACAGTCACCTAGAGCATGGTTCTCAAGGTTGAGTTCACAATTGAAGCAGCTTGGTTTTATTTCATCCAAAGCAGATACATCTCTCTTCATCTATAACAAGGCAAACACTATGGTTTTTGTACTTATACATGTTGATGACATTATAGTTGCAAGCTCCTCTCAAAGTGCCACTAATGCTCTTTTGCATGATCTGAGTTCAGAATTTTCCTTGAAGGATTTTGGTGATTTAAATTTCTTCCTTGGCATTGAGGTTAAGAAGGTTCAAGATGGCATAGTCTTGAAGCAAGAAAAGTATGCCACTGAACTTCTGACACACATGGGAATGAAGGACTGCAAGCCTTCACCTACACCATTGTCATCTTCATAACAACTTTCACCATATGAAGGAGTGCCACTTAATGAGGAGGAGAGTACAAAATATAGAAGTGTTGTTGGAGCTCTACAGTACTTGACATTGACACGACCAGACATATCTTTTGCAGTGAACAGGTTTGTCAATATTTGCATGCCCCTACCTCTGTTCATTGGACATCTGTCAAAAGGATTGTACGATATATCAAACACACTGTGAGTTTGGGTCTTCAGTTCAGACGTTCTAGTTCTACACTTGTCAGTGCTTTCTCTGATGCAGACTGGACAGGATGTAGTGATGACAGGAGATCAACTGAAGGATTTGTTGTGTTCTTTGGTTCGAATCTTATTTCTTGGAGTGCCAAAAAACAAGCCACGGTGTCAAGGTCAAGTACAGAAGCTGAATACAAATCGTTAGCTAATGCAACTGCTGAAATTATTTCGATGGAGTCATTACTCAAGGGGTTGGGAATTAAGAAACAACATGTCTCATGTTTATGGTGTGATAACTTGGGAGCCACCTATCTCTCTGATAATCCAGTGTTTCATAGTAGAACCAAACACATTGAAATTGATTTTTATTTTGTGCGTGAGAGGGTGGCAGGAAAGAAGTTGGATATAAGGTTTATTCCATCCAAAGATCAAATTGCTGATGGGTTCACAAAAGCCTTGCCAGTCAAATCATTTGAGGAGTTCAAGAAGAATCTCAATGTGGGGTAGTTTAGATTAAGGGAGGGTGTTAGAGTTTGAGTCGTATATCTGGAATCTCAACAACCCAATTCTCTCTTCTCCCGTGTCTAAGTCTATCTCTTGTAATCTCTCTTGTACTCCAAAGCAAGTCTTTGCCCAATATAAATAAACACCGCGGCTGCCTATAGGCAGTAAGAACGCTTATACCACGAACTTCTTACAAGTAGCACGTGGAAGAGGCATGTGCTGGATCACAAGCTTATTGCGAACCGTCCAAAGCGTCCAAGCAAGGTCTCCACGAAGTCCCTATACCGCTGCCACGTCTGCACCGGAGCCCCTTCAGATGATCTGGTCGATCAGACTTCCTTTTAAATGAGCTTAGTATCTTTAGAAATTTGAAAGACGACAAGCTCACGCGAAGAAGTTTAAGCATCGGCGTACTACGAGAGAAAACATCTGGTTTACTCATTCCACGTGATGCATACGCCAAACTCACAAATCCCAATGCAAGCACACACAAATTACACACGCTAGCCGGACGCAGGACGATAAGCGACTTCAAGGTCAACGCCACTCGATGCACTCCGGATGTGGAGGACGACGGAATCATCAGTACACGGTGACGGCGAGCTTCATGCCGGCGCTGCAGTGGCCCGGCACGCCGCAGATGAAGTAGTGCGTGCCCCTGGGCAGCGTCACCGCGTCGTAGCCGTTGCGGTACACCGGGGCGAACCCCTTGGGCGACACGGTGCACTTCTTGTACCCACCCTTGCTCACCCACGCCACGTCGTGGAACGTGCTGTTGTACTTGAACACTGCGCATGCATACATACGCACGCGGCATGGTCAGATCGGGATAAGTCGTCCAAGGCTATACTCGCACGTGCATTGCAGAGAGAGGTACGTACCGAGCACGTCGCCGGCGCGGAAGGTCTTGCCGGCCAGCCACCCGCCGTAGTCGACGTTGCGCGTCCACCCGGCGGCGTCGCCGACAAGGTACGTCGTCGCCCCCGCCTCGGCAGCAGGGGTGGCCGCCAGGAGCACCGCGGCCATGCACAGGAACGCGGCGCCGGCGACAAGCGCCTTACTGCCCGCTGCATTGCCTCTTCCCGAAGCCGCCATCGTTGCCGCTCGCACAAGCTTGTCGTTAGAGAGACCAGCTACTGCACTCTCTCTTGCTGCTTGGTAAGACTGAGCTCGCAGGAATGGCGCCCTCGCCGTGTTGCCTTTTATAGCGCGTCCGTGGCGTTGTGGACGTGGAACTTGAACTGCTTGTTTGAAAGTTGAGAACTGGAACTGCCATTGGGGAGGAGTGAACGCATTATCCATCGCACGTGATGACACGTTGTGCAGCGCATCCATCCTTTGACTATTGACGAGCTTATTCGGCCACTACGTACACAGTTTCTCACGATTAAGATTGGACCAGGAAATGAACTTGTTAGTTTGGATAAGACAGAGGAGCGCATGTGATCGATGGGCACTGCGTTTGCCAATGCAATGTTTGGCGGAGTTCACGAAACCTGTCTGCGGGGTTTTCGGTTTCTTGTACGACTGTTGGGCACCGACAGTTCCTGCCGTGTGCAGCAATTGCTCCGCAAGTCAGACTTGTGTGTCGTCTCTAGCTAGCTAGTAGAGCTCAAGTTGACCATGATGCCTTGGAAGTTGTCGAGCTGCCACCAAGTATATATATTCCAGATCCACGATCCACGGAGCCATCGTCGGGGGATCAAAGAAATGGAACACTTATGGCACGTTCGTACTACGTCGTAGATGGTCCATGTTCCGCTCTCAAAAACTCGGCTCAGCCGGTAAGAGTGGCGCAAGTGGGAGGGTCCACCACCGGCTGAAACGCTAAGGGGCAACTGGAAAGGCGATCGCGTGGCGACTGTCTACCATCGCTAGGGTTAGGGTTTCTGCGACGGGGGCGGCGAGAATATAGAAGTGCTCCGGGGCGGCGACGGCGCTTCCCTTGGCACGGACTGGTGAAGCATTCTCCACCACGGAGCAGAGCTATGGCGAAGAAGGCGAAGGAGAAGCAAGGTGGGGTGACGGCGGCAAAGGCTACCCCGGCAGCGACAACGACGCCGGGCAAATCGGTGAGCAGGGGATCCTCCAAGTCCCCGGTCGCAACCAAGACGCCGGATCCTACGTCAAGTCTCTCAGCTAGGCTGGGAGGGATGGTACTTTTGGATAAAGATGCAGAAGGTTTCGTATTCGAAGACCCAGATCAGATCTTGCCCAAGGGCGCAAAGTGGTCAGCGGTGGGGAAAGCTTTCTCGCCAAGGCCGCTGAACAGAATTGTGCTAGAGAAAGCGATGCAGAGGGCTTGGGGGCTACATCATGAGGCGAGGTTCAGGGACATGGGCGACAATGTTTTTGTGGTTCACTTTGGCAGTGAAGGTGATTGGAGACATGCGATGAACAACGGGTGGTGGCAGTATGATTATAACGTGCTCGTGCTCAAGGAGTATGAGAGTAATATACGGCCCTTTGAGATGGTGTTCGATAAAGTGGATGTATGGGTCAGGGTAGATGATCTACCACAGGGGAAGAGAACCGAGGCCTTTGGGTGTGCGCTTGGCAATTGGCTTGGCGAGGTTGTCAAGGTAGATGTCGACAAGGAAGGATTAGCTCGAGGGAGCCAGTTGAGGGTGAGGGCAAGGATTTCAATCTATGAGCCACTGGTTCGGTGTTTTCAACTCAAGACTTCACAGGAGGACAAGGTGGGCACATGGTTCGACTTCCACTATGAGAAAATACCGCATTTTTGTTGAGACTGGACTTTCAGCTCCCGGGTGCAGGGGCACCCTCATGAATAGTAAATTCAAAATGATATAAAAAAGTCGAAAAAATCTGAAACTTTGAGGGATGAAGTTTGATCAAACATTTAACGTCCATGCAAAGTTTTAGCATCAAAAAACATTTGTGGAGCCCTCGCAAAAAAAAAATCAGTGTTCGAAGTTATGTGTACTTTTGAGCAGTAATTTTGTTTTTGTCGGTGAGGGCTCCTCAAATGTTATTTCTGGCTGAAAATTTGCAAGAACATCAAATTTTTTATCATATTTGATCCCCCAAAATTTCAGATTTTTTCGATTTTTCTTTCGTATTGTTTTGAAGTTACTGTTCATGAGGGTGTCCCTGCACCCGGGAGCTGTCAAACCTTTCCCATTTTTGTTTCGAGTGTGGAAGACTTGTTCATGTGGATGGGCGGTGTGACCCTCCAGTAGACAAATCTTCACAATGGGGTGGTTGGTTAAGGGCTTCGCCGGGTAGGAGCACTGGCTCCAAAGTTGAGGCGAAGGGGAAGACAAATAATAGTAGCAGCTTCATGAGCTCACAATCGGAGGATAGCAAGAGAGAGCAGGAAAGCAAGGCCAGTGGGCGAGTCCGAGACACCCCGACGAAATGCAACCTTAATACTGAGTTTGACAAGCCGGAATGCTCGCACAATGGCGTTGAGCGAAGGCCTAGAAAAGGAGAAGTAATCAGTCCTAGGAAGGACCATGTCAGGAGAGAATGGACAGAGGAGAGGGACCCGAGACATGATCTAGAATGCAAGAAAGAAAGAGACCTCGGGGAACAGCTGAAGATGCAGCAAAGGCAGCGGGAGTTTGAGATGGAACAATTTGAAGAGCGTCGTCGGTGGGAGGGTGCTTACACTAATAGAGAAAGAGAGGTGAACTATGGGTATACTCCGCATTACCCTAATGAAAGGAGAAGAGGCTACTATGTTCGCAAACCCAGGCAGAACAGTGCAGAGCATGGGGGGAGGGGAGATAGCTTCCAAGCCCCTCCTGACTCTAGAAAGAGGATACCAAGGTAGGTGTGGAAACCAAAGGAGGGAGGGGACAGTCAGGAAGGGCATGCCACTTTCATCCATGACACAAGGCAAAATACAACATCAATATTTGAACGTATAACCGAAATTGAAGGTACATCGGCGGACCCTGCTAGGTCGCAGGGCCGCCGGGAGCAATGAACATTTTAGCCTGGAACTGTCGGGGGTTGGGGTTGGACCCGACGGTGGGCAAATTACAGGACCTTGTTAGGTCATACAACCCGGCGGTGGTTTTCTTATCAGAAACTAAAAAAACAGCAGAAGCGATGGAGAGATTGAAGTGGAGTCTAGGATTTAGGCATGGGGTACTGTGAACTGCAACGTCAAGAGTGGGGGACTGGCGTTATGGTGGAAAGAACATGTGGATATAACGGTGAGGCCGTGGTGCCAATACTACATCGATGCCCAAGTTGTGCTGGATGGTGTCACCTTTAGATTCACTGGAATCTATGGGGAGCCATGTGTGGAGAAGAGAAAGAAAACCTGGGATGTGCTTCGGTACCTACGAGCACAGGATAATCTCCCATGGCTATGTGCAGGGGACTACGACGAGGCTCTTATACAGAAAGAGCAGTTGGGTGGTAACCCGAGGTGTTTGAGCCAAATGGAGAGCTTCGCCGAATGCTTGACCGACTGCGGGCTCGCTGATATAGGCTACTCGGGATATCCATTCACATGGGATAGCAAAAGAGATGGAAACGAGAACATTCAAGTGAGGTTGGACTGGGCCACCTGCAACGCTGACTTTGCATAGATTTTCCCGGCGGTCAAAGTTTTACATGTCATGACCGAGGAATCAGATCACCAGGCGATTGTTGTCAAGGTGCAAGCGGCACTGGCTGCGAAGCACTCGGGTGGGCAGCGCCCTTTTGTATATGAGGCGGCATAGGCAAGGCAAGAGGGATATGAAGCGATGGTGGCAACTGCATGGGCTGATTCCCATGCAACCAATCATGAGGCTGGTGCACTTGCCGGCACATGCAGTCGCATTAAAGCCACGTCCGGGGACATGCAGAGATGCAGCCGCCAGGTCTTTGGGTCTATCAAAAAAAACCGCTCACCTGAAAATGCAACTAGTGGAGGCCAAAGAGCGGGCTGCGCGATCTGGATACAGACAGGAGGTGAAGGATATAGAGGACTAGTTACACGAACTTTATGAACGAGAGGAGATTTATTACAAACAAAGATCGCGGGTTGACTGGCTGACAAAGGGGGATCAAAACACGAAGTATTTTCAGAATTGAGCTTCACATAGGAAGAGGAAGAATACGGTCAAAGCCCTCATCAGAGAGGACGGGTCCAAGTGCACGGATGATGATGGGATGAGGGCAATGGCGGCTCAGTTCTATGCAAAGTTGTTCACTTCGGAAGGCTCGCGGGATACGAGAAAGTGTTGCAACACATAGACGTTGCTGTTACAGAAGCAATGAATGCCAAGCCATGTGTGTCGTTCACCGATGAGGAAATAGAGGCTTCCCTCTTCCAGATGGGACCCATGAAGGCTCCGGGGCCAGACGGGCTTCCGGCCATGTTCTACCAAAAGCATTGGGCCTTGTTAAAAGAGGACGTGTGTGAGGCGATCCGCGAGTTTCTTGCTGGCCAGGAAGCCCCAACGGGGTTTAACGATACGGTCATAGTGATGATTCCGAAAGTAAGCTCACCAAAGGTACTTTCGCAATTTCGCCTGATTAGTTTATGCAATGTTCTATATAAGATCGCCATGAAAGCACTGGCTAACCGGCTAAAGGTGGTTTTACCCTTCATGATCTCAGAAGAACAGAGCGCATTTGTACCTGGCAGATTAATTACGGACAATGTCTTGGTGGCCTACGAAAGTGTGCATGCGATCAGAAGGAGGAAGCAGAAGAAACCCCCGTGCGCCGTGAAGCTAGACATTATGAAAGCCTACGACAGAGTGGAGTGGGATTTTCTTGAGCAAATGATGTTGAAAATTGGCTTCTCTAGTCACTGGACGGAGATGGTCATGAGATGTGTCAGAACAACATATTTTTCGGTTAAGTTAAATGGTGGCCTCTCCTACGGGTTTCTCCCATCTCGTGGGCTTAGGCAAGGGGATCCACTCTCCCCATATCTTTTCCTATTTTGTGTGGAGGGATTCTCAGCAATGCTCAAGAATGCACATAGACAGAAGGATATTAAGGGGGTGTCCTTTGGGAGTGGGGGACCGACTGTCACCCATCTCTTGTTTGCAGATGACAGTGTGATGTTCCTTGAGGGATCCGCAGAGAACTTTGAGGCACTCCGAGTCATTTTGCAGGACTATGAAGCAGCCTCAGGTCAAAAAGTAAACCTCCAAAAATCTGCTATCTTTTTTGGCAAAGGTATCTCCGAAGCAAGCAAAAATGAGCTACATCAGGTTAGTGGTATCTCAACGGAAGCACTTAGCGAGAGGTATCTAGGGCTTCCAACTATAGTCGGCAAATCAAAGGATGGAACCTTCAGGTATGTCAAGGAGAGTGCAAGAGGAAAAGTAACAGGATGGAAGGGACAAGGGTTGTCC